GGGCATTCCTGTAAAGTATAAAAAATTTAATGTATCGGACAATGTTCGTTTAGTAATAATTTTGATTAATTACCTTAATTTTTACCGCAATTCTTTTACTGAAACAATGTTTTGTATTTGTTGTGTAATACACAAGAAAGTTATGTAATATTTTATACGATTTGTTTGCCTCGCGATTGACTATCGATGCCTTATATAATAAAGTTAGAAAACAATATGTAAGTATAATGGCAGTGTATATAAACAGAATTTTGTACATTATCATATTCTCCATAAACATGATCGAGATTATTAGAAAAATATCTAAAAAACCATAATTGATCCAAAAAGTGAGCAATATTTTTGACCAATACGTACTATTATATTCATTTAATTGAACGCATATTAAATCTAGCATGTTGAGTTGCTTTGTTATGCCCGCATGGTTATTGCATAAATGTTGATTGTTAAACATGATTGTTAAATGTTGATTGTTGTTCCAACATTTAATGTTGATTGTTAAATTTATTATAAATTGAATTCAGCATGATAGTAGCGTAAGTGCATATTACGTAAAAGTAAATTATTTGATATATGATTATTTTTACACGCAACAAGTTTATCTAATAACTTAGATAGTTTGCAGATTGGATAAAATGCAAATAAAATATATTTTTAGCCCAATGATGTGCAATGTCCTAATGATAATTAAATTAATAAAATAAATGCATAACAATTAAGCTAATTAATCAAAATTATTACTAAACGAACATTGTCCGATACATTAAATTTTTTATACTTTACAGGAATGCCCATTTTAATTAATAATTTTATTTTTATTCTATAAATTACATTTGAAAATATAACGTTATATATTACATAATATAAGTTTGATTTTATTAGAAATATCTATCTAATTTTTAACTGTTTGCTCTAGTAATAAAAAACTTAGAATTTTTTATTGTAAAATAACAATTAGTTACCATATTTTAAAAATAATAAATATGACCTTCACAAACCGTTTGACTCTGTTTCACAAATAAATCAAAACTTTGTACAGGGGCGATTATTACGCCTATGTTGGATATATCGCTAAATAGCATAGTAGCGGGTGTGGGTGTACTGACTAATGATTTGCCAAGAATCGAGGTGCATTTCTTTAAAAGGCTGCTTTTTTCTACGAAATACTTGAAAAATACATATACGCCTTGTATTGGGCCAGCAGTAGCTTGGTAAACTGACTCCCTTTCATAAACACCTAGATCATTTAAAAATTAAATTAATAAATAATATAATGTTATTACTTATAAGTAAATAAAAATTAACATTATTATTTACAATTAATACATTACAATTTAATTGCTACCAACCTGATTCATCAATGAAATTTGATACTAGATTCATTATAGGAATGACCGTTTTTTGCCCACTAGGTAGTTGTTGTACAAGAAATGTGTTGCCCACACCTTGTGTTGTAAGAAAGTTACATGTATAGTCAGTTGCTAGTTGGGCGGTCACGGTGTAATTAGCAATATTTTGTCCCTGACAATCGTCAAATACTCCGAACAGCAAAAAATTAATCTTTGGTGCTAGAAACAAATTATATTATGTAACAAATAAACCAAAAAATACAATTATATGAAGTTTTTTATTTATAATAGTTTACCTGGAGTGTTTTCATTGCATCCAACTTTAGTATTACCTTAAACATAAAATAAACGTATAACTTTTTTTTAGTGAGCATAAAATATTATTTTAAACATCTTACAAGTTATAATCCAAATCAATACAACACAAAATAAATATTGTTTAAGAAACATAATTTAAAAATTAATTTCTATTAAAAACTAAATATATTAATTGGAAAATACTTTTCAGTTACAGTTAAACTTTGTAGACTAACTTAAATATAACATTTTTAAATATAAAAAATACTTTTACTTTTTTAAAAGAAATATAATAATTTATCTAAAGGTGTATATAAATAGCATGTACGATATTTGTTTTTATCGAATTTCACAGTTAACTTATATGTAATATTACGTATATAATGTAAAAATGGAAATATACCCTATTGTTGCGTATCAATAAACATCTGATAAAGTACCTTATACTAGTTATAATCTTATATGATTATATCAATTGGTATTTTTTCATAAACTAGTTTTTAAATATGTTATTTTTAAATATAATTTTATATTTTATTATAACTAATTTTATAAATGGAAAATAAAACAATAATTAATAAATTAATTGTATATTTATTATAAATTAAATGATTAAAATATGGCATGTGCAAAGTGGGCGTTTAATTATTTATATATTTATAAATTATTATAAATGTTAAAGATTAATGACAGATATAATATAAATAATACTTTACTAACTATGTAGTCATAATACACTATGATAAAATAATTTTATTTACAAAATATTCGGATTGTTTATTTAGCTTTTATTTCTATAAAATTGAGTGTATGTCTAAAATTAATTTATTATTAATTTATTATTTGCTGCAAAAACTTGCACAAATAAATATAAAATTATTAGATTCTACCATTAACAAACAATTTAATTATAATAATGGACCGAGAGCATACGTGCTGGTTTAAATTTAACAAGTTTGTTCTAACCGTTTTAGCAATAATTGGGATAATTGGTGGCATATTATTACTATTAATGGCAATTATATTTATGTTGACCACGGGTGAACTACATAACAAGGCAAATAAAATATTCATTTTATACATGTAAATAGTTTAAACTTTATAATAAATGTTTTATAATTAAACATATTATTTTCTATCTAGACAATTGTGATAGCATGTTGTGTTGTATTTGGCATAATATGCATAGTTATAAACTCGGTCGGCACAGCCGGTGTTTGTCAAAAGAATTTTGCCTTGGTACTTATATACGCCATATTTAACACCATGGGCACTTTGTCTATCATACCGCTGGTCATTAGGGTTAATTATTATTATGCGATACCCTTGGGTTTAAGTGCCTTGATCACTATATTGTGCTATTTGTATGCCCGAGATTGTTATGTAATTGCGAATTTACATGGTGTTAGTGACACATCAACAATTGTCTGCCCTGATCATTTGCAATTGCACAATATCAACCAAATTAATTATGATAAAAATACTATTTATACTACACATATTTAATTTATCAAATTTATTATATTTTAATGTTATACTTTAGGTATTAATTAAATCATACCACATTGTTTTTTATTTACACACATGTTTTTATCAGTACTCAAATCATATTGTAGTTAAAAATAAATAAATTTTAATTGTATTACTATTTATTTTATTTAAATGTGTTCATTTACCATCATAATACATATTGTTTTTATATTGTAACTATAATTAAGCACTAATTAATATATCAAATTAATTGTGTATCTAAAATGGACATTCAGCAAAATACTAATTTCAAATTAAAGAAATGGACCTTGTTCACTGTGGCCCTAATCGAAACGATATATGTAACTTCAATAATTGTTATATACGTCCATTCAATTAACAACGATTTTAGAAACACATTTTACGGCCAACAAGATAAAACATTGGTAAACATTTCACTAAAATTACCATGATCAAACTTAACTTAATGAAAATATTATTATATTAAAGGCTAATGTAATCGTGGAACTAGTTATCACCATAATGATTGACATATTATGCATAGCTGGCATGTGTGGTTCCTATCGAGAGCATTATGGGCTAATCAATGCGTTTTCCATAACATCATGTGTAACAACGTTTGGCGAGATAATCGACTCGGTGATTGACCCATGGTCAATACCATTGGCCTTGTTAAGTTTGGCCACTACAATATTGGCGTATTATTTTGCCCTAGATCTTTATGCGATAAGAATACGCAAGTGGAGCGATAATGTTAGACATCGTGATAATGGTTTGGGTATAAATACAGTAAATAGCCAAGTTAGTATTGAGTCGGACGTAAATTACGATGCTCAAAATGATGCGAATTCTGCCAACTCAGCTAAGCAAACACTTGCACAATGTTAATTGAATAATAATTGCAATGATGTAATTTAATTTTATTTAAAAGCAATTTAATAACAATAAGCCTTATTTGATCATGATGTATTTTATTGTACATTATTATTTATTTTTTATCCAGATGATATGCAATAAATTTTTTAATAGTGGCGTATTTTCGTTAGAAATGACAATTAAATGTATATAACAAACAGTATTTTAATAAAATACACCCAGTTGTGTTAAGTAAGTTTAAATTATTTAAATATTTTTGTTAATTATTTGTGTATGATGGATATTAGAGATAAAAGCAGTTTTAAGGTCAAAAAGTGGATCTTGTTTGCAATTAGTATAGTTGCTTCAATCGCCACTGTGTTGCTTACAATTAATTTAACTATAGTTTTAAGCAGCGCAAACACCAGCCATGATAAACCTAACCATGTAAGTAATCATAAATAATTTTGTAATTAACTTAATTAATAAAATGATAACAAACTAGATCGTTTACATAAAATTAAATCCTAATTTAGCCAGGTGTAATCGCCGGTGTATTTGCTCTAGGTCTATTGGGGGCGGGGCTCAACTCAATCGGCGCCTTTGGAGCCTATAAGGAGCACTACGGGCTAACCCTGACCTTTGCTATTCTGGCTCTATTGGGAACAGTAGGCAGTTTGGGTGCGGCTCTTAAGGGACCGGCCAGTTATCCAACATTTCTGATTAACCTGGCCATCACTATTTTGGCATTCTCGTTTGCGCATGATTGTAACAAGCTCAAGTTGCAACAGTTGCCCACTACGGTGTTGCCCGGCCAATACCCGGCCATTGTGACAATTGTTGGTCCACCCGGTAGTGGTGGTCCATCGCCACCACCGCTATATACCGAGAAGGATAAGAAATTAAGCCTGTAAACTTTTATCTAGTATAATACATTTTAATCAACAGTTTTTTCAAAATGTAACTTTTAAGTATAAATATAAATTGATTTTAAATGTTTATTTATAGATTATTTATTTATACAGACAGATGTACGCAAAATAACAGTTACAATATAATCAAATTAAATAAAAATATTAATTCAAAACTATGATATCTATATTTAATTTATTTTTATTAAATACAAAGATATTTTGTATAACAATACTGTCAACAAATATAATGTAGAATCTAGATACTGTATTTAAAATAGCGCATGGTAAATACAATAAATGATACATAGAAGATGTATATTTTATCTAATATTGTATTTCCAATAACAATTGTTCAATTCATTATTAGTTAAGTAATAATTGTAGTCATAAATCAGCTTGTCTCTCGTCAACTTATTTAAACATTACACATGTTACATTTATCTTTCCAATTTGATAATTTCGACCATATTTGTTTTTTAATATTAACAATTCTGCGGGACAAATAAATTATATAAAGTAAATATGACATAGAAAATATTAATAACATAATTAATCCAACAATAATAATATTATTTTTATTGTAAATAAAGTAGGCTTTTCCGGCAATTAGTATAGTTGTTATACTTAGTCCAAGCAAAATAAACATAATAAAATATTTAATCTTGTTAATTATAGCACAAAATATTAATTCATCTTGATTAAAATGCTGAATCGCATGTGTGATCGCGTATAGATTATTAACATTAACACAATTGTCTAATTCACGCATTTTATTAAACATTGTTTGTAATATTTTTGTGTACATTATGTTGACCTCGATATATAACAGGGGTAGAGCGCTAAACCACCCTGATAAGTGAAATATTGTGATCATAGTGTGATGATTGAAATTTATAGTATCCAGATAATTTTCGGATAATATTTTATGGGAACACAACTTATTAATTATAACAAAGTTAATGATATTAATAAATATTGTTAAATGAAAAATGATATAAATTATTGACGAAATATATTTGTTTTTAATGCCATATTTGTTGTAATATTTGTGCATTTCATCAATAATTTCAAATAATTTACTTTCATTAAATTTAACAAAAATATATGATATAAATGAGGGAATTATAGCAAGTATTTGACACAAATTTATGTAAAATTCAAATGTATTTAAATTATATCTGAATGCGAGCGCGTGTTGTAATAAAAATGTTAACTGACTTGTTATTATAAATCCAGTGATTATATTATTGACTGTTTTATTATTCACATGATTCAAGCCGTAAATCATGTAAATATATTTAAACATTATTAATAGATTATTGGTATAGTTTACTGTTTATAATTGTGATAATATTATTTGTACATTAATAATAATTTTAATTGATTCAATAATTATAAACATTTATGTATCAGTATTAGGATATTATTGCAGATACATGACGTAGATCACTAACATGTAGTAAATTAATTTTAATATTTTTGAAAAATAGTTTATATAACATAAATTATCATTATATATTAGATATTATTATTATTATTACACACAGAACATTGCAACTAGTTTATGACATGAGTCGAATGGGGGTGAAGTAATGGTCTCCGAACTCACCAAATAAAACACAAATAAACAATTTTATTGGGTATAAAAACTATTGTAAATTATATACACGTTTGGCTCAGTCTTACACTTAAGATGAGCTCATATTTAGAGAAATTAATAATTAGGTATATGATAATTCAGTGCTCTTACATAATAACAGAACATTATATAATAAACATATGAACACAGAATAAGAAATACAATTGTTATAAAGTAATAATCAATACCAATGTAAATCATTCTAAATAAAGTTGTATATTTTATGTTATATATTTTTATATACTGTAGTTATTATAAGTAATTAAAATATATAAGGTCAGATTACTTAATACACAATAATGTTTATTATTAGTTTTTGTTATAATTCATTTTGCTTTAATTATTTACATATGAAAATAAAATTTAATATTTGAGTTTATAGAAATTTTTGTTTTGATAAAAAACAGTATACCTGTGACATATAGATTAAGAACATTTACATTTAACTACTTTATATTTAAAATTATAAATACATGTATGATGTATATTTTCTAATGAACCACAAAAAGATTAATATGATTAAGCAATTTTATTTCATATCATACTAATTAGTACACATATTAGACACATTTATTATATAAATGTCTTATTAATTAATATGCACATTATTTAATAATTATTACTTACACTTGAAATAACATAAATAATTACACATGATAGTATTGTCATAAAATATTATATAATAATAAAGTTTTTCCTGGAAGTATAATGCTTAATATTGTAACTTTTTATACTGATTAACATTTATGCAAATATGAGTCGGCTTTTATATTAATTAAACATTTTGAAAAACGGGTTATGAACACTTTCTCGAAAGACACTTGTTCGAAATACACATGCTCGAAATTCACTTGCTCGAAGTACACTTGCTCAAAATACACTTGCTCGAAATTTTTTAATTGCTATTTTTAACATTATTATTAATATAAATTATTAATTATAATAAATTTATAGCTAAAATATTAATTTTTATGACAAATACTTCAACTAAACTAAAATATTTTATAAAATCAAAAAATATTAATGATACATATGAATTATTTTATGTTAAAAATATCGATTATAAATTAAACAAGAATATTTTTATAATAAATTTATGTTTTATACTAATTATAATGTTAAAAATAGTAATTAAAAAAATTCGAGCATGTGTATTTCGAACAAGTGTCTTTCAAGCAAGTGTATTTCGAGCACGTAGCTTTCGAGCAAGTGTATTTCGAAAAAGTGTATTTCGAGCAAGTGTATTTCGAGCAAGTGTATTTCGAGCAAGTGTATTTCGAGCAAGTGTATTTCGAGCAAGTGTATTTCGAGCAAGAAGCTTTCGAGCAAGTGTATTTCGAGCAAGTGTCCGGCTCTGTTGAAAAACATGGTTGAGCTCACAATTTAATACATATAAAATTATTATTTTTAAATAAATATTTTTAAGTAATTTTCCAAGAATTGTGTAACGAACCAATGATGATAAAATGATTAATACAAATGCAGATACTTGGTTTCCAGACTATTTCTTTTATATAAAATACAATTAATGTTTATAGAAAGTTCAAAATTCCATTAATTCCCATGTTGCCGGGAAGGAATTTATAGGCAAACTACTAAAATTAAAAAGTGAATCAGGGAAACGCGTAACAGGAGGGAAAATATTTTAAATAATTTTGATTATTTTAAGTATTATTATGAATAAATTGTTTGAAAGTATAAAAAATTAGAAAATCAATTTTATACAGTAGTCAATTAATTTTATAATGTTTTTGATAAATAACAAAGAATTGGTTGTCCCTCATATAGCATTACGTAACCATTTGAACGAAATTATTGAATTTTGATTACAAAATAATTTAGTAAATGATTTAAAATAAATTAATTAAATAGATTTTACCAACTCTTTTTCTCAGTTATAATTAAGCATGTTAGGGCACATGTAATAAATACCATAAAAGTATTTATATACGTCGATTGGTCATCGTTTGACAACATTTTTGTCTTATTTTCCCAATTTTAAAAAATATAAAGTATTTTCCGGCGCAAAACTATTTTCCTGGAAGATATTTTTCAAAAATGGCAAACCATGAACATTAAATACAATACAGTATTATTATACTCTTATAGTGATAAACAATTTATATTAAGTAGATTTGCAATTTTTTAATTTTATAATGTTTGTGAGTAGGGTAACCACCATGAATTGTTTTTAAAAATGACCGATCAAAAAGAATCACTTAAAAATTATAAGCTGCATGAAGGAACAAAAATTATTATTATTTTGTTTTTTCACTTGTGATTTGTGACACATTTTAAATGAGTATAGATTAGACCAAATGCGTTGAAAACATATTCATTTAATTTTTAATATAGTTTTTGTTTAAAACATCAATATTTGATTTTAATATAGATTTCTACCCTATTGGTATTATTATTTAACATTGTTTGCTATAATGTCAAAACTCTACACATTTATTATTAAAAAATATACTGTTCTGTTTGTGTTAAACTCTGTACAGTATATTGAAAGTTTTAAAAGATTGAAAAAGAGCAAACTTATAAACATTTATCATCTTGCCACCCTATACTGTATATGAGTGGTTGTTTTTACAGACATAAATATACTAATTAAATTAATTAAATCTAAATTAAATAGTCTGTTGTCTTATACAGTAGATGAAGTAGTTTGCTCTATATTATGTACATAATAATATACTTTACATTTTTAATCAAATATAATTCTTTATATAAACTTTTATTCAAAAAATTGTATCGAAAAAAGTAGAATAAAATAACTCAGTTAATTAAACAATTAATATGCTTATTTTATGTAACATAAAAATAATTCATATAGAGTTAATATTATTGACAAATGGAATTATAAATTGCATTATTGTATCTGTGATTAAATAGATAATGTAGTACTTAAATATTAAATAAGTGACATATTTTAATGTGTGACTTCAAATATTTTAAATTAATTGTAATTTACATTTAATCTTTACAGTTAATTAGTATTATTTCTGATAGTTTCCATAATTCAGATTATATGACGGGAAACGCGAACTAAATGCATGAACCCATTGCTCCGCATACATGGATTATTATCAGGTTTTTCTTAATCAGATTTGTAATGTATGCCAACCAACACCGCCCGGCCATTAATATATTGTATCAATGGTGAGCCAGAATCACCCTAATGCATTTAAACAAAACACAATAATAAAAACAAACATAATCTAGATAAAATAAACTGTTGTATTAGAGACATGCGCGACACGCAACCGATCCATTAGGGTAAGAATCTTACCGTAAGATACCCTTTTGGCCAGTTTATCATTGCCATACATGTCGGCCTGCGTATTAGTGGCCGGAGTGATTTTAGTCCAAACATATGGCATTATTATGCAGG